GGCAGCCAGCAGCGGCACCGGGCGCTCCCGTTTGTGGAAGTTCGCAGCCCAAACGCTTCCCTGGCGTGTCTCGCTTCCCCTCTCCAGCTCATTCCGCGTTATCCGCCTGGCTGAGGCAGGAACTGAGAGATGGAGCCCAAAGCTCCAGAGCTGAGCTCCGATTCTGGGTCAAACCAGGTCGAATTCATTAATTTTTAATGCAAAATAAGTAATAAAAAACAAAATCTGGGGTCTTCTCCCTGTTTGGCCGTGAGGAGGGGCTGGGTCGGGCTTAGCTGCCCCTTCCTGCCTCTCCACACCCCAGGGGATTCTTTTCTAGAAATTCAACGATTATGTAAAGAATTGTGTTAATTCACTGGAGTTCTGACACTTCTGTAGCCATAGAACAGATGCTTTGTGTGGAGAGTGTCAAATAATAAAAATACCGGGAAAGCTTTGGGCACTTCAATTACATCAAATGGGCTGAAAATGAAAAAAATTGTTGTCCAGATCTGTCCTATTGAAACAGCTCAAGTTGCTTTTAATAACAGCATCTTAGCAATAAGTGAGATCAGCTCTGGATGTGCTGCAGCCGATGGTGGCAGGTGACACCACCATGGCCTCACACGGTGACAGCACCTGGGGCTGGGGACAGCTGGATTCCCTCCATCCATCCCCATCCCCTCTCCACCTCTGTCTTTACTAAAACAACTGAAACCCTGAAAACCAACACTACATGTTCTGCATGTCTGTTGAATTCTCTGCCAAGTCTGATTCCAGCTGAGCCAAAGGAACTTCCCCCTTGTCCTTCCAGTGATGGGAATTGCCCAACCTTTAGTTTTCTGAGAGGAAAGCAAATTTTTAAGTAAAAACCCCAAAGAATGTGTCAGTTCTTAGATTCAAAGTGTGGCAACAGCTCCAAGCAGCCTCTCTAGTTGTTTTCATACCTGCAGCCTTTTGTCCTTGGGAATGGCAATCCCAGAATCCCAGACTGGTTTGGATTGGAAGGGGCCTTAAAGTTCATCCCATTCCACCCCTTCCACTATCCCGGGGTGCTCCAAGCCCTGTCCAGCCTGGCCTTGGACATTTCCAAGGGATCCAGGGGCAGCCACAGCTTCTCTGGGCACCTGTGCCAGGGCTTGCCCACGCTCACAGGGAGGAATTTTTTCCTAATCCAGGAACAAGACAAGGTGGAATTCCCTCTGTCCTCTACAAACCCAATTTCTGTTTGTTTGGGGGTGTTTCCTCTGTGTGTTTGTTGTGGCTTTGTGTGAACTTACGGTGATCTGTGTTGTCACTTAACTCTGATCTTGTCTCTTTTCCCTCCCTGCCTGCTGCTGCTTTCATTCTCTAGTATTGGTATTTGCCATTCATTTCACCTTCTGCCTCTCTGCAGCTCATGGTAGGTGACAGATCCCAGGTCAGCCCCTGTGATCCCTCTGCATGCCAAAACTGACAGCAGAAACCAGGGCTGGGGGTTTGTTTGTTCCCCCCCCCCAAAACACTTCCTTTTTGCAGAGTTTTGCTCTGCAGCCTCTAATGACCTCATTAATCACTGGTCTGGCTTAATGGCTCCCAAAAAATGCTCTTTGACATCATTTGAGTGTGAGGATTGAAGGTGGTGGCTGGGAGAGGAGAATTTTTCCCTTTTTTCACAAATTTTCTGTAAATCTGGCAATTGTGTAAAGAAAACACGAGTGACTTTGGTCCTGGCCAGTCCCAGAATGTGCACAGCACCTGAGAGCTGAGCTGGCCTGGGCTTGGCCTCCTTGAGCCTGTTTTGGGTCTGAGGAGCTGATTTCAACATGTGAAGCAAATTCTGTGCCTGGACAACTTTCTAGGACCCAATGAACCCTTTTTCTTGGTACAGAATTCCAGAAATCCCTGAGCAGAGGAGCATTTTGGGCCTGTTGAAAGGACCAGAGCTGGAGCCTGATGGGCACTGCTCACTTGTAACATGAAACAGAGGGAAGAGTTTGAGTCAGATCTCAGCTCTAGGCCAGTGCTTGAGGTAAATTCAGGGCCCTGGCATGGCACCTCCAGCTATCCAGGAGGTGTTGGTGTCTTTCCCAAAATCCCAGAATAGTTTGGGTTGAAAGGGATCTTAAAACTCAACCAGTTCCACCCCCTTCCAAGGGCAGGAGCACCTTCTGGTAGACCAGGTTCCTCCAAGCCTCATTCCAAGGAGAATGAAGTTGTTGCCAGAACTGGAGCTGGGATCT